TTACAAAAATTAGATAAAACACGTCGTGATCGTGGTATAGATTCAAGATTTTTTCATCGTCTTATACTTCAATGTGCACGTACATTAAATGATAAACAACGTTTACGTTTACCTGATGAATATCGTTCATTAATACAAATAAAATATGATGAAATTGAATTAAAACGACGTTTATCAACAATGAATGATGAAGAAAAAAAATTATTTCTTCAAACAAAACGTTTAGAACAAAAACCAATTGAAGATTTTGATTTACCATTTTTAAAAGATTTACCATTACCAAAACAAATTCAAACAACATTAAATTTAACATCAAAATCAATATCGGATTTACTTATAATATGTACATTTTTAACATCATGTCATTCATTATTTTATTTATCATTAAATGATAATATATCAAAAACAACACAATTATATTTACGTTCATTTAAATTTAATTATTTACTTAATACATCAACAATTATATTTTCAAATTATTTCATTGAAATTTTACAAATATTTATGAAATTATTATTTAAAGAAGATGAAAATCGTTCAAATAATAATGATGATGAGGAGGAAGCAGATAGTAATGATGAAGATAATGATAACGATAATGATATAAATAATGAAAATCTAAATAATAATAATAATAATAATAATGAACAAATTGATATTGATAAAGATATTGAAAAAATTTATTCAATTCAACTATCACATATACCATTAACACCATATACATGTCAAGAATTAACACGTTTATATTTATTAAAAGAAAAAGATGATAATAATCAAATTATATTAGATAAATTAGCTAATTTTGAAACAAAAGATTTATCAATATCTGAACAAGTAAGTTTTTATTATATCAAAATTTCTATATATATTTATATAAGAGATGAAAAACATATTTATAGACTATCAAGTGAAATCGTTCCATTTTTTGATCAGATTAGTGAATGTTTTATACAGATTTTTTTACTCCGAACGAGCGAAGATAGAAACATAGTATGTAGCATAATAACCACAAACTGAGGGAGAACCAAGTCGATCTTCGGAGGAATGCTAGTTGGACAAAATACTGATCTTTATCAATTGTAATATCTAAGCTACCGTTCAATATCGAATTGCCAGGGAAATTTATCTTAAAGCTCGAAGTATTCTGTAGGTCGCTGTTGAATTTGGATATTTATTAATGAACTGACGAGGAAACTTCGCCAGATATCAAACTGCGCTTTTCGATTGAAACAACGTTCATGAAATGAATGCTAGTGAGTAATAGAAAAGTCTAGAATAGTTTGGTTTCTCGGATCTTCGTTCTTGAGATATCGGAATTTTACTCGATTTCTCAGATTACTTAACAGTTTCGACTTCGAGCTTTACTCGTGCAAAGTTTGAAGTTGAAAGTCAATTTTTCACGTAATCCAACAAAATTTCTATGACTCACTAGCAGACTTCGAAATAGGACCACTTTTTTATGGCCCGACGTGAGCCCGAAGAAAATTTTGTTTACAAAGATTTTTTTTCTCGAATGGAGAGTTATTGCATATTTTTCGACTTTTAGAAAAAAAAGTGATGACCGGAAGAGCGAGAGATAGCGCGGAAACTTTCCCCCTATCTCCCTTAGGAGTGAGTCAAATGTCAAAAAAAGATAAAATCGTCGGGCTTGCTCAGTAGTACTCACCAAGTAAATATTGTCTCAATTGAAAAGCAATTTGATACCTGGAGAGATTCCCTCGTGAGACGAATCAATAGCATTTCAATTAATAAAATCACTAGGTGATTGATTAGGTTTGAATTTTCAAACGATTTTTATGCATGAAAATTGTTCATAACTGATAAACTTCTAATTGTATTAATTTAAAATGTCATTAACTTCTTGTAGTTCATTAATAAGAATCTGAATCCAATATTGAACGTATTCGATCTCAGTACGAATGTTAATATCTATCATTGAAAAAGTCAAT